TCAATCTGCCGATTGCCCATAAGATCCTCCCTCGCGAAGGGGCGCCTACCTTGGAACCCGCTGGTACGTGGGCTAGAAGGCTCAACGGCTCCCTGGTCGGTGGAATTGGGACTGCTCATGTCGACCACTTCCACGACCTCCCAGCGCTCCAGTTCAGCGTCGAACTCGTTCAGTAGAGCGCTCGAATCTCGACCCCCGATCTGGCTGTCGGGGCCCTTGCGGGCATCTCTGCAGAAGGGAAGAGGAGGGCAGGGAGGAGGGAAGGGTAGAGAGTGTGTAAGCGGTGGTTCAGGGATAAATTGTGCAGACGGCAAAGGGACTGGCTGGGGAAGACGGTGTTCAGGGGTGTAGTGCTTGGTGGGAACGGGCATGGGAGGCTTGGGCGGAAGCGGAGAGTACGGGATGAAGTTCATATTCACAGCCATGCTTGTAGGAAGGGAAATTGTAATTGGCGAGGGTTAAGTTCCAGTGTCTGTTCTGCTCGTACTCCCACGCCCAAAATCGACCGGGAAAGCAGGTTCCTTAAATAGACGTGATGTACACTATCCTCCTTGTTGAAGGCTAAAAATCCAGTTCCAGCTGTCCCAGCTATGAGCGGCAAATCACACAGCACGGCACCGCACCACACCACACTTGAATGGCAGGGATAAAATCCATGACGCCGAAACCAGCAGCGCTCCTGTTCGTTCGCTTGGGCAATTTCCCATGTTCAGCTGACGTGGAACGACCCTTCCCCTTGAATAAAAGTAAAGAAGCTCGTCAGTGATTCACGCGATGTGATTCAGTGCTAAACTTCCGTCGCAGCCGTGTCAGCTGGGAAAAACGATGTGAGTCACCACGAGCCAACCCTGCAGTACCATCAATACCGTCGTTACCCCACAGCAAGGCAGACCACGAAATACACGAGGCGGACAATTCGCATGCGTGATTCCAGTTTCATTTCCGGAGTTTCTCATGCAGCTGAAATGCACAGCAATCTCAAATTCATCTATGGAGAAACCGCCATATGGAGAGCAGTCCAAATAAGATCCGGTTTTCATCCCTGTATTTTTCATGCACCATCCGTCGTTGCAGGGATTTTGAGCGGCTGAAAGGGGCAGGAATTTCGAATCCGACTAACAGCTAAAGGGGGGCCCCCCCGTTGCAGAAATTACCCCTCTCCTCCTGTGGATTCGCCAGGTTTTTCGCTCCAGATGCGGGCCAAGAGAGCATCGCACCACCATCACCGGGTCTCGAACAAGCGAAACAGGGTGATCAAGTTGCACGAACCTTGGAGGAAATGACGAAAGGGGGCGCAGCTCCCTGTCACAGTGTCTCTCCCATTCGCCGCGTTGGTGAGATCCAGAACGGCAGGAGTTGCCACATGCGGGAAAAACGACCGAGGTGCGTACACACTATGTGCCACGTATGCAGACGGGACGGATGGTCGTTGCCCGTGGTCCGTAGAGTGAGGTATTTTCGCCATTGGCTGCGAGTCCAGGCGAGAAGGATCGAACCCACAATGATTCCAATGCACGCGGAGGGAGTATCCGGCAAGTAATTTCGGGTAGATATCCCTGTCACGAGGCATTCTCTCAGGGAGATAACACGTCGCAAAAGTGGGGTTTTGAGGGCATCGCTCTCAAACAGGTAATCCCAGACACGGGGGCGCAGCCCACCTGATGCCCAGCGAACCGGTGAATGATGGAAAGAGAAGCCAGTGCAGCATCGTACGGTGAGGGAGTGAGGGAGATCAAAAGACCTCGCCGGCCGTCATCGCCCGCTAGGCCTTCAGTCAAAAAGAATCACCAACGGCACAGCACGGCACAGCACGGAACAGCCTGCTGCTGGCTGGGATGATCACTGATGGCAGGGCCCGCGTCGCCAGGTGCAGCGAGCCAATGGGCCCCGGGTGGAAATGATGAAAGACGAAAGGTGGCGCCATTGATACAGGGAGGGAGGGGAGAAACATGCTAGCGAACAAGGCTAGAGAAAGAGGAGAGACAAGAGGGGAACCGAGGAGGAAAACGAAGAGGGAGGACGTGGAAGAAAGAGGGGAGTCGGACGAGGTTTATATAGTGTGGACGACGGCGACGTCACGACCACGGGAGCAGCGAGAGGGTAGGTTAAACCCGAAAGGGAAGACGCCAAACCCGAACGGGCGACGCTAGGCCGAAGCGGGAGGGCGCCAGACCGCAACGGGGCAAGGGCGGCCAGGGGGCGCAGAAGCGGCCGGCGCGACGCAGACCGAAATTATACTCCTTTCAATATTCAACTGAATCATTTATTCATTTATTATTGTTTATATGATTCGCCCCGGTGGCCGAATGGGTAATGCGGCCACCCGGTAGCGCCTTGGTGTGGGGACCCAAGGCGCGTGGGTTTGAAACTCACAAGGGGACAACATTACATCCGGAGCCAACTTCTCAGCTTCTAAAAATAAAGGGATGTGAACTTGCCAAGTAGGTACCTTCGGGCGGACCTACTACCTGATTTAGCTTATTGTTTCTGGGCTGAAAACCTGTATCATGAGTATCAAATCCTGTCTTTCATTAATTTTCTTATGTTTCTGTTATATTCTTGATATCATTCAACACTAAGCATTCCTCCTGTATAACCAACTCTTGCCTGTATTTAACATTACACAAGGACTCGTTATAAGCACTGCTTGCATACGAGTATAGCGAAAGGATAATAATAATATAATAATTCAAATTCTTTATTCTGAATAATGCTCTTTACAATTAAAAGAGCTTCTACTCTTTGAGATCTCTTTATCATCAATCAGTTGAAGAACTCATCAATAAACAAATTCATATATTCATCAAACTGAGAGATTAAACTATTTTGAATAGAAAGTAGATTCAGATTCAATGGCAGATTCAAATTTGATGACAGATTCAGATTTAATAACAAGTTTGAATTTAATAACAGATTTGAATTGGATGACAGATTCAGATTCAATGACAGATTTGAATTTGATGACAGATTTGAATTTGATGATAAGTTTGAATTTGATGATAAGTTTGAATTCAGTTTTTTCATAACTTTCATTTCTTCTATCATATATTTCATCACCATCACATTGATTATCTCATTTGAAGACACAATATTAAATGAAAAAAGAGATAAAAGAAGAAATATAATTGCTGACATCTGAGATATTTATATAGAAAAGTTAGAAATAGAAATAGATTTATTTTTTCGTTTTTTTTTTCTTTCTATTTATTAATTTTTTTATCGTTTTTTTTGAAAAATTTTTAATTGTTGTATGTTCACATTCAACATCATCTATTCAACTGACAATTTCACTATTCAGAAGTTAAATATGAGTATCATTAAAAGTTATTCAACAAATGCTTTACTCAAAATTATAATAATTCATTTTTTGATAACATCAATGAACAGTTATCCCATATTCAATCTGTAAAAAATCATGTTTATTTAATTATTTAAAACTTTTTTCAGCTGCTGACTAATGGCTGTGGATTATGTATGCATAGACAGCAGCTTTTCATCATTGAATATTTTATAAATTCAAAAGAATTTGACAGAATGATAGAGAGAGGATTTGACAGATGATGAAATTTTTTTTTTTTTTTTTAACATTTAATGCTTTTTTTAATATCAATATCTGAATTGTTAATTGAGAATTCAACACTTCAATGAAAGCTGCAGAACTGTGTATTACAGAGATGTTTGAAAATAAAATTGAAATATTAAAAAAATTAAAAAAAGTGATAATTTCAATGTCAAATTCATTCATTTTCTTTTTATATAATTTTCCAAAAAAGTGATAATCTCTTTTCAATTTGTCTTCTTCTCAAGGGTGATTTCGATTAAAGATTCACATTTATTTGATGAGATGATTGCTATATAATTTACAACTTCTATTTTCGTGCAATTTTGCGTTATAACATATTTTTCAGCTATTCTTTTTGCAGTATATTGAATATGATAGAAGTTGACAATCATATCATTTATTGTGACATTTCATAACTTGATTTTTATAAACTTTTTTATTTTATTGATAATCACCCATTCATACAATCCGAATGAAATCTTAGATTTAAAAATATATGTTCATAAAAATTAATTTTTTTTTTCTTTTTTTTTTTCTCCTTCTTCTTTTCATCATCAGTTGAATTCTCATCATTATCTGAAACATTCAGAATAAATGGTTTGAATAGATGAAAATGCAAAGTAATTGAAGTTCTTTTAAGAGCTTGCAAGATAGTAGAATGATGAGTGTTGCAGGGCATATTGACAGATTTGATGATAAAGGTGTGTATTTGATGATAAAGGTGCGTATTTGAATGAATTGAATGGTATTTGAATGATTCTAGAGATACATGGATATTTTGGTTATTTTTGCAGTGTTTTGCTAATATTTTTCAGGGGGTGGCAGAAAATTCTGTTTTCGCAAGCTTTACGTCCGCCACAATATGAGGAGAGCCATCTTGATACCTATGGCCTCCCCCCTCCCTTGCTAACTCGATGGCTAAAGGGAAAGTACCTCATTGCGGCACTGAGTTTTGGGGACCCGAGGAACGACAACAACCCAGAATCACACATCGACGATCGACGGTCATATATATTTATATGCCCGGGGAAAAAGTGCCAGGAAAGTTACTGCGAGAGGGTTTTGGAATCAGCCCCTGTACCTAGGTGACCCTTTGAGGAGCCTCTGTTGGAGGAGCATCCATCTACAACACCAGGGAGCTCTACCACCGCGACGATGAAATCAGCAAAATGTTTTGACTGAATATCCCTCATCCTTTACGTGGCTCTCCCTTCCTTCTGGCTCTGAGCGGCACAACCACATACTCGAACAGTCCTCGACGACAACGATCGTGAGCAGTGCGACGACCATGAATGGGAGGTGGGGATGATGATCATGATGATGTGCCATCCTTCTGTCCATTCTCCACTTCAACTTTATCAAGCTAAAAGTTTGGTGCCTGAAGCTTGACCAAACTCTTGATCTGTTAATTTTCTGCAGTCATTTGAGGTTCAGTACGCGTTCTGTACGGCGTACTCCGTATTGATCTTTCATTTTTTATATTTCACGCTCCTCCATGTACTCCATGTAATGGCCAGAACCCAGATTACCCCAGCCAAGATACACTTACAGCGTAGAGCCATACACATCGCCCACGCTAAGCCTGGCAGGTCCTTGATCCTAGGAGGTCGGCTTGGTTGAAACTTTCTCGCGGCGCCTGAGTCTTGGCTGGCGCGAAAATGTTGCTTTGTCATTCTTCTCGCTACCAATGGCGATTCCTCCCGAGCGCTGGTGGCAGAGGGAAAAGGCGTTGTTCGCCAACCAGGCTGAGGAAATGGCTGCGATTTGAAACGGTTGGTTGGCCGTTGTTGGTTTTTTCCCTTTATTTATTTTTTATTTTTTTAATTCTCCGTTACTTTTGACTTTGTTGATCTACCGAAATATCCCTTCGGGAGTTCTTGCACAACGTAAACAAACAAATCTTTTTAAATGGTTGAAAATCTTGCAGTAGTCTATGTACAGTATTGATGAAGTGAAGGGGAGGGGGGAAACCAGCAACTACTATGAGGAAGCGACTCGCCAATGCCTCGTAAACGCGGACAGGAATAAGCAGAACAAGACAAGGAAAAACTTAATCACCGCTCTTTTATTTGCGCTTTCTATTACTTTTCGTTTCGCAAAATTCAGTCAGTGAATCGGAAATGGATATACATTTGAAACTAGCCCAAGTATTAGAGCCTAGTTCCCCATCTTCCTCCCAAGAACCAATCCACACATAGAGAGAGAGGGGAGAAAGAGACGAAAACGATGGGAAGGGTTGAGGAGGAAGAAGAAAGAAGCAGAAGAAGAAGAATAAAAGATGGAAGTTGAAATGCACCCTTTGGTAACTGGGTTGCGCACGTTCACCACTTCTCGAGATTCTTTCTAGAGAAGCAGGGCAGAACTGAAAAAAAAAAAGAGAAATAAAAACAATGCGAACTTGCAGTTCGTGGGCTTCGGGGCTTTTTTTTTTTTTTTTTTTCGTCTCCTTGCTGTTTCGTTTTCTTTCCGAAATTCCTTCACTGCTTCCCCGTTGGAGAGCCTTTTGGCGCTTTTCCTTTCCTTTTCACTCGTAACTTGTAAAAATTACTTTTGTGAATCAGGCTAAAGGGCCAAAAACCTTTCGCTTTGATGGTAGGTGGTTTTGTATCCATCTAGTTCGACTCAGTATACCCAGAGCCCTGCCATTCTTGAGTTCCTGAGGATTCTTTCGGAGGTGGTGCACCGGCTTCCCAATGTAATGTAGTCCAGAACCAAGGTATCGAGAGCCAGCGGAACATGAATCCAATCGAACCCAATCCAATCCGCTCCTTTCTGCCCCGTTCACCTTCATTTCCGTCCAGCGATGTCCACTCAACAGTCGAAATAGGAAAAATTTGAAGGAAATCATGAGGAAAAATCACGTCGCGTTCGTATCGAAGCGTGTTCGTTTTGCGCAAAACTATTAACCGTGGTTGGACACGGGCGCTCTCGCTCCCATCCGTCCCCCGCCTCTCTTTGGTCGGCAATCTCAACCCATCCCAACTGTGAGAATTTAATCCTTATGCCATGCTATATAATGTCCCCCCCTCCCACATCCCAGAAAGAAGAATAAAATAATGTGAAACGCCAGACGCGTTATTTCATGTTCCCGCGCGTTGCTTTCCCAAAACCCTAAACAGAAAGAAGAAGAAGAAATAACTTTCTATAATAGCGTGCGTATGGTTGTGTAGGTGGAGGCGTAGGTTTTCGGCCTGTATACCCGGTTGTTGGAATCGGAACTGGCCAAAATGAGTAAGAAATATCTAGAAAACATTCACGTTGGAGTGCTTGGTATCATGCAATTTTTTTTCCATGCATATTTGCTCGTTGCAGAAAAAGAAAATAAATCCGTAGAATATAAATTAATGGGAAGTACGTGAGTAGCACAGGTATCGTAAAGATTCATTTCATGAGGCATGTTGGAAAGGCCCTCTGGTGGTTGCAGTCACCCCTTTGTTGGAGAAGGGGTCGGACGGAGTGGTTTTGCTTCAATCGAGGAAGGTAAAGAGGTTTGTGTGGAGGATGTTAATGGCGCGATCTGCGTCTCTCTCTTCAATTACGCAGGATATGTTGATTTCACTGGCACCTGGTATTTGAAACAGGAAAAGTTAGTTATGTCCACAAAGGGAGATGTGGTACCAGAACCCAAATATCGTGGAGAAGAGGGTAGTTACCCTGCGAAATCATCTCGATGTTGACGTTGTGCTCCCCCAGCGTCGAGAACATGCGTCCCGCGATGCCAACCATGTTCTTCATCTGCCGTCCCACGAGACTTAGAATCGCCATCTGCGGAATGATATCCACCGTACCATACCGACGGAGGTCCTGGATGGCGCCTCTTAGGTCTTCGTCGATAATCTGGTACTCGTCCTGGCCAACGCCGTTCAGTAATGGCAGTTCGGAATGGAGCGCTAAGGACACGTGCACTTCGCTCGTGGATATTAGATCGATTGAGAGTCGCCATTTATCCAGCACAGAAAAAATTCCGGCGAAAAACCCATGAGATAATGATCGCTTGTTCGAATGGACATTTATGACGAGGATCTTGTGTTTGGCTGTTACTGCAGTCGGTCGTTTTGGGCCCTGCTGATCCTGTGAAAGTATGCTGGGACTCCGCGTACGGAAGATCTTTGGTTCATGGCCTAGTGCTGTCTTGTTTAGTTCTGCGGGGTCTGGGAAAATCACTGTACCCTTGCCCCTGGGCTTCATAACATTTTTTATCCGGATGGGGATTCGTGCGCGAATGACCTGCTCCATAGTGAAAGGGTGGATCACCTCAGAACCGTAGAATGTCAATTCTGCAGCTTCTGCGGGTGTAATCGCCGGGAGAAGCCGCGCCGTTGGTACTTTTCGCGGATCAGCTGTGAAAATACCGTCTACCTCCTTCCAGACCTGAAGCTCATGTGCGTTGATACCCACTGCGACAAGCGCGGCGCAGAGGTCAGTATAGCCTCGGCCGATCTTGTCCAGCAAGCCACCAGGCACTGGCCCAAAATAGCCTGTGATCACGGGTACTTTACTTCCACATGCCTCAATCTTTTCGGCCAGCACGACAACCAGGCGGTCATAAAACGTCTGGTCGAGTGACTGGGTACTTGTCGCAAAATAAATCACGTCTGATAGATCGATGTATTCCGACTCAACACCGTGATCCTCCAGCAATGCTGCCATTATGCGACAACTTAGCTTCTCTCCAGTGCTTATCACTTTGTCCACACACTTTGCAGTTATTTCCCCAAGGGTTTGAGCAGCTTCGAGGATTTTGAGGGTGTGCGTGCATTCGTCTTCGATTGCATTAATCAATTGTTCCTTTAGTTCTGGGTTTCGGAGAAGGTCCTGAGCAACTTGGACATGTTCATGTCGGACGGCATCAACGAGGGTAACATAATACGTAGATTTCATAGTTCCCCCCGCTTCGCGAGCGGCGCGAAGTAGTCTAGAAGGGATAGATGTCACTTTTCAGGCTCATTGAAGCAAAGCTGGGTCTCCAAATGTGTATGCCATCCGGTGGCGGTTGTACATGGAATGACTCACCGATTGGTCGTCCCGTCCGCTTTGGATGAGCTGCTTCTGGCTGAGCAGACGACAGCAACTCTATGGGTTAGAGTACTAGGACTATAGGTAGAAAAGGCAGAGCGTTAATCCGATTATGCAGAAGGAAAAAAAATGGGAGGATGCACAATACTTGAAAAGAGGGGCAATCGTACTATATGACACGATCCACGATATCAACGGCGAATTTCCCCACGCTGGTACCTCCAAACTTCTGGACAACCCATTCTGTAGGATGAGCTGTTATACCATTGGTGAGAGGGACGTTGTCGATTCCATTTACGCCCAGGTGTGAGAGTAAACTCATCGTGCGTGACAAGAGGGGAGGACGAAGCAAAAGGCATAAGCCTTGGGTTTGCTCTGTGTTCTAACCAGGAGAGGTATAAATGTACGAGAGCTTAAGAGACGAGGGTTTTGAATTGGGGAAGGAAAGCCGAAGGACGAGAAATTATAAGGGGTCTTCATAGGGCGCTGAGTCAAAAAGGATTAATAAAAGAACATTGAGCAGAATTAAAATGGTTTTGTAAATTGATGAAAAAATAAGCTCCTAACAGACCATACCAAAGAACACAAACACACAAACTTCTAATAATCACACCGCTACTAGTTCATATAGGGAATAGCTTCTACATAATTTTCATCCATCGAGAAGTGAGAAAATGGCATCCACACCATCTACTCAGATTCTTCATTTTTCGACTCTGCGAAGTTCTTTGCAAAACGCTTTATAAGATTTGCTATATGTGGGTGGAATCAACTGCTTCAATCTCAATTGAATGTATAAACTAGGGCGCCATGTTCTTGAGATTTTTCAATGAGATTCTTAAATCCATTCTCAGGTAAAAATAAACCTACGGAATGCAGGTCTAGCTACCAGCTATGTAGTAGCAGGGCTGTGGAGTAGTGAGTAGAGAGGATTCATAAGGGATTGGAATAATCAGCACTCGAAACCCAATCCCATTTAATTAGTTAGTCAGTGGGAGTGTGTGTCCGTAGTTAGTTTTAAAAACCGACTTTTTTTTCCACAGACGGCGACGGTGGATCACGCAATTCAGGCTAAGATCCAACACTGAGCCGCCAGCCTAAGTCCTTTCTTTTTCTTTATCTTCAGAAGATAACGATAAGATAACATTAGAAGAATCCTGCACCGCCAAGTCCGTATTTGTTGTTGCCTTCTTAAAAGGTGGAGAGGTACCATTTTGGCGGACTTTACATCTGTGAATTTGCTTGTTGTTCCTGCTGGGAACCCGTATTTCATGTACTAAATCCTGTCTTTCATTTAATTTCCTATGTTCTTGTTATATTCTTGTTATATTCTTGGCATGTTTCCACACGAGCGTTCCTCCTCTATAACCAACTCGCCTGTATTTTAACATCACACAAGGACTCGTCATAAGCTCCGCTTGCGTACGAGTATAAAGAGGAGGAGGAGGAGGAGGAGGAGGAAGAAGCAGAAGTTGAAATCTGCTACGAGCGGAAGTTATATTACGCTAAATCAGATATGGCTAGCATTAAACTCTACAGGGCTAATAATCAAGAGCCAATCACTGGCTGGATGTGACTGCTGTCATCGATTATCGACTCCAACATCCGCTCCCTTGTCCCTTCACCAGCCGCAGTCGCAACGTGTGTAGCTGCAGCGTGGAGAGAACAACCAATGCAGGAAGGGGACTTTCAGCCTATTTAATTTCCATCATCTTGATTAAAGGGCCTGTTTGGCGCTTTGTCTCTGGGCAATATTTCGATGACCCGGACCCCCTCCCCCCCTGGTTTTCCAAGAGCTTATTTCTGATGGCTCAGGGCGGCACGGAAATCGATATCCTGCCCTGTCCATTCTGTGATTTTTCTGATTCTGATCCTTATTTCCTAACTCAACATGTAGAGCTTTGCCATCCTGAAAATGGAACATCTCCGTTCATTGCGATCGAGGAGCCCTGGGCTAGTGCTCAGGATTTGAATCAAAGCAACACTGACAAAAAGGATTCCCCCATAGATTATACAGGGCCCGTTGCCAATGATGATGATCCACTCAGCGGCTACGTTGACTGCCCTCATGGCTGCGGCGAAATTATCTCTACCGCTGAGCTTTCAAGTCATCTGGACCTTCATATAGCTGAAGAAATGGCTTTTGAAGACCGCATCTGGTGGCGTGGTTTCCAAGTGTGAATCCGAG